AAAATTAAATGTTTGGGCTGGTATTTTTGACGATCATTTAGTTGGTCCTTTTTTCTTACCTGGAAATTTGACCGGTGAAATGTATTTGGAATTACTGGAAGACGCCATAGATCCTGAATTAACAGCCATAATTGAAAATCAGAATGATCGGCGGTACATTGCGAATAGGATTACGCATTACATGTTCGACAATATTTAGATCAGACGTTTCCAGATCGATGGATTGGTAGAGGAGGTGCCATTGAATGGCCCCCAAGATCGCCAGATTTATCACCTTTGTATATCTTTATGTGGGGTCATTTAAAAAGCAAAATCTATGCTACTCAGCCAACATCATTAGAAGACCTGCGACAAAGAATTGTGAATGAGTGCCTTCAAATTACTCCTCAAATATTGCAAAATGTGCGGCAACGTTTTGACCAAAATCTTTATTATTGCATGGAAAGTCATGGTGGCCATTTTCAACATTTACTTGCCTAACGGGTTAGTTCATTCTTCATTTTTAAATTACTTTGCTGCCAAATGTATTGATCTCCACTAATGCCGATGCATTAGTTTTATTTAAGCTTTAAATCAATAAATCTTCAAAACTACTGAACTGAAGTACATCAATTTCATATCATTATAAAGGGAATTGAAATACCTTTAAAATAAGGTATCACTCGACCCCCCTTTCCATTTAAGATTTTGGGGGTGGTGTCACCCCCGCTTAGGGGGCTGCACTGTTAACGTGATTTATTGCCAAAGTTGTGTCCCCCTCGAAAACAAAACGACGGGTCTGAGCGTTTTTCAAAAAAAAAAAGCTGAGCTGCCAGTAAATGCGTCTGTTTCGTTTTCGATGCGCCACTCCGTATAGGACCTCTCCAAATAATATATCCCAAAAGTCTACTTTTTTAACGTAAAATTGACCTGTTCAGGGATTCGATCGAAATAAAGAACTTATTTCATTTGGTTGTTCCTGTGTAATTAAGCTAATGTGCCATTTTCGCTCCAATATAAGAAAGATGCAAAACAATTATTAATGGAAAATATGTAATATGTAAAAAAATGTTACTCGAAACGGAATGTACCTTTAAAGGGTAAATTAGTGGTGAGTAAAACAGTCCGCCATTTTTTATTATTTTCGCCAAGCTGAGTATCTATCTATCAGTTCGGTACCCCTCTTACCATATTTCCCAATATAACGTCTAAAGATTGTTTACACAATATATCGACAACGAAACCCCAACTCCGTTTGTCCCCTCTCTGGTGTGGAACCTCCTCGAGGCTTAACTTTCATTCTAATTATTCCTGTTGACTGATCGCATTGAGCTCGACGCGGGATTACCCACCTCTCCTCTCCCCCTTTCATTTTCTGCGTCTCAAATATAACCCCCGAAACTACCCACGATTAAATAATGTATTAAAAATTAAAGTGGGATATTCGATTATCCCTTGGTACATAAACGTCGATTGTAGCGAGGCGAGGGTAGCGTGGTATCTCAGTGGCAATGGGACTGGAAAAAGGTTTATAAACAAGCCTGGAAAATGGTTTGTTTTAATCCACGAAGCAACTTATAATAGTAAAGAAATTGTGAATAATGTGAATTAATGTAAATAATCTGCGTAAAGTTTGGGGATGTGTGATACAGTGCGGAGCTGACAGCACATCGGCTCCAAGGCTCGCGGGTTCGAATCCCGACCTCTAAAGTTAGATTTCCAGCCATAGATATTGTGTGTATATATACAGGGGGAACCAAATTGATCTGATGGCTTGAGTTCAATGTGTACGAAGGAGAAGCGTATATCAACACATGTTAGAAAGATACTCTTAGAAGCCGGCTGAAGAGCGAAGGACACTGCCTAGCAACCTACTCCAGAAAATGTTCGCACAGGCTTCTACAATAGGTTAGATTACTGTCCAACCCAAAAGGTGTGTTCGAACATTTAATCTAATATTTTGTTTTCATTCTGATTAGAATTATTTACTCCAATTTTGAACTGAAGCCGTCAGACAAGTTTCGTTCTCAGTGCATATGTACACACCAGATCGGTGTAAGATAAAATTGCTACATCGCATTTCCGGAGTTGGTATTTATTAAATCAGGGCTGTCCAACTTAATGTGGCCCACGGGCCACTTCAAAAAAAAAATGCAGTTTGGAGGGCCGCATTATAAAATCTTTCTATACAACATTATTACAGAGTTAATGTAAGAATTGTGCATATTCGGTATTTGAGAGTAATTTATACATGACCCGTGAAGCGGGCCGCATGAAAGGAGTTCGCGGGCCGCATGCGAACGCTACGTTGCCAGTCTCATCACTTAATTTATTCAATAGAATCAATGTTTAAAATTGATTAAATTAATTATTTTATCACCGAACAAGAAGTACCAAAATGTATAATAATTCGATAGAACTGATCTTGTCGATTTGTTTTTATTAGAATTACTTAAAATTACGGGTATTTATGAAACAAGCCACACACGTATTTTGTACTGTCACAAGTATATCGCCTAAAAAAATTCGAGTAGGATCTGAATTTCTAATAAAACAACAGAGACTAGTTTAGAAAAAATCACTTGTTCGTGGTATCCCGTTTTTATTACAAAATCCGTTACAGTAATTTAAGCAGGTGTTTGTCTTATTTTATCCATAACCGTACATCATTCGAGAAAACCGAAATCTGCTGAAATATTATACAAGTAATTTATTATAAGCCGGTAAAATTCAATACTATAAACTGCGCGTAAAATGTAATTCAAACATGTAACTTTTTTCTCATTTAACCAAAATTGTAACTTTAGCCGTTCCTGAAACGCAGTGCTACCTCATCTTCATCTTAACATGCTGTAGATTTTTCTATTCACTTCGGGATAAACTCGGGTGTTTTGTTTTGCTCAGAAATGTTTTGATGCAATACAAGAAATATGTGCAAATTGAATGAAAATAACATTAGGTTGATTTGATTATTATTTGTTACATTCATAGGTTCTTCCATATCTCTAAAAATTTTAATTGCTTGCTTAATACAATTCTTGACAAGTATTATGTGGCTTGAGTGATAATATTCAATTGAAATTATTGTCGTGTTTTACGTCATGTTTTTCTTCAACTGACTATAACATGTACCTCGAGAGGTTGAGGAGTATACCCTACGCCGCTGCATAGCTATATTGTTGCTACCCCTATAGTGTATGTACGTGCCTATGACGTGAGTGCCGGCGGCCACCCTTGAGCTTATATCGGTCGTTGTTACGTTATTAGCTGTGAAGCCCGTTAGGAGGGTTAATGATTTTCTTCGGCTCGTCGATTGTCCCTTTGCCGGTTTGGATTGGCGGTAGGATGCTGGTAGAGATACAGTAGCGGACAAAAGTTTGGAAACATTCTTGGTAATTTTAAAGACTTTTTTCGCATGTAGTTTGCTTACAGTCTTCGGAATACAAATGACAATTTGTGTCTGCTGTGGTACTACAGAGTAGCATTAAAATACCTTCATATTATTTTATGACCGAAATTGAGACGACAAAAGTAATTACAAAATAAGTACAGTAACTCTACAAAAAGATTTAAAAAATACTGTTTAGCTAATATTTGGTAGCATAGCCTTTAGCATCCAACACTGCCTGGCATCTGCTGGTCATAGAAGACACCAATTATTTACAGACGTCTGTTAGGATTTATTAAAGTTTTTAGGTCCGGGGATTGCGAAGGCCATGTAAGAACATTAACATTGTTTAGTCTTAACCAGTCCTTTACGAATTTTGAGGTATGCTTGGGATCATTATCTTCCTGTAATGTCCATCGTAAAGACATTTCTTCTTCAGCAGAAGGGAGAATGTGTTCACTAAGAATATCTTTGTTAAGTTTTTCGTTCATTTTCCCAACAATTTTAACAATTGGACCCGTTCCAGAACTAGAAAAACACCCCCGAACCATTATGTTGTCTCCACCGTACTCAACTGTTCGCAACTGATACTTTTTATAGAATCTTTTTCGTATTGGACGGCTCACATATGCCGTACCGTCAGATCCAAACAAGTTAAATTTGCTTTCTTCGCTCCATAAAACTGTATACCATTGTTCTTCTGTCCAAGTTAGATGTGTTTTAGCAAATTCAAGCCGAGCAATACGATTTTTTTTTTAAATGAGAGACTGGATGTCTACTAAAAAGCCTAAAATCCACCAAGCGTCTCTGCATTGTACTGGCATTCGAGGATCTTCATGGGACAAACGTTTAATGTAGCAATCCAAAACATAATCGGTTTTTTTCGGTCCTCCGCACCTGGGCCGCGTTGCTGTTGTTTTCAAAATCGTTCCTTTGTTTATTTTTAATCTTTGAGAGTATCGCAGAACGAATAAATACGGCAAAACTGAAAAGTTTCCATACTTCTGTCGTTACAAAAAACTGTGGTATTTAAAAAAATGCGGGTTTTTATTCTCAGAGAATATGAATATTAATAAGATAAACCTTGTATTAGTACGGGAGACAAAGGTAGACTTTAATATTAAATTATCTGTTCCTTCACAATTTTAATTAAGGTACTCTACCGGTCAAATATTTTGGGACAGTAACTTTTTTCAAGAGAACTTAAAATAAATAAGGCATATATGACATTGATTGATTATTATCATCTATAATACGACTATTCAAGCTAAAGATGTATAAGAATCAGTGAACCACCCCTTAAAAGGGAATAAATGTAACCCCTTTAGAGACGCCGATATTTTTATTAGTTCATTGCAGTCATAGGTCGGCCGAATTCCTGCCGCTCTTTACTTTTTTTGTACTATGTATTATGTTCGGCTTAATACTATTAGATTTTTACAATTTACGACCACTCACGGTCAATGTCAGACAGTGTCTGCCCAGCGCGGCAGTACGTCTTCTCCCGCGCCGTTCTTGGGCGCACATGTGTGAGCGACCAAACAGTGTTATAGAGAGAGCCAAGTTTAGATATTTGAAATAGAATCTAACACGGCCAAACTGACATCATTCCGCTCTCGGAATGTACAGTTTTAGTTTACAGTTTTATTATTTAACGATACAGAGATTTAGAAGGTACATGAATAATTGGTTACAAAATTACGAAAATACCCGGATAACTAATTACAAAAATACATGGATAACTAGTTACAGGAGTACATGGATAACTAGATACAAAATTGCGAACACTACGACTATGGTATATATGCCTACTCAGCATGTAGGTACTTATAAGCCATGATTATTATTGAACATCATCTTCCAAAGGTTGATAGTCGAGATTTAGCTTGCTCGTCTATTTCGCTGGTAGTTGCTGAAATAAGCAAAAGAAGAGCATTACTCAGACTGCTCCATCAGTAGCTGCTCAATAGTCTTTTGTAGCATGATTTCATTCGATGACACGATGAAAATACTGCTGATTCAACACCAACAGGAATTCATCAGATGACACGATGGGAATACTGCTATATGCACGTATTCTCGATGCGTCATATAATATCAGGACTTAGAATGACACGATGGAAATATTGCAATATGCACATATTTACGATGGGTCATTTAATATCAGGGTTTTAGAATGACACGATGGAAATATTGCAATGTGCACATATTTACGATGGGTCATAGATTAATAAGATCGGTCTGTTACACAATCTAGCAACAATCTAACACGGCATAGATTGATCAAAATATATAAAATGAATTACTTACAATCATTTAATTCTAGCAGATTTTGGAAATCCTCAGGAGTCCACTCGATTGGCCAGTGGCGCAACTGGTCCTTTGAACACTTAAGAGTCATTAACTGGCCTAGTTTTTGAATTGAGTATCGGTCATTAGCTAATAGTTGTTTAATGACATAGGGTCCCACGAATTCGCATGTAAATTTCTCTGCCCTTTGACCTCGGCTTAACAAAACTACATCACCAACTTTGAATGACTGGTTATTCTTACGCTTCTTGTTGAGGGAAATAACTTGTTCTTCAGCATTTTTCTTCTTTTTTTTTTTAAAGAACGGTGGTAGAATCGATTGGATTTTTAGTGGCTTCAGGAGTGGGTAAATCTGCTAAGACTCTACGAATCTGAGGAGTTTGTCCTTCTTGACCAAAAACTAATTTAAAGGGTGAATAGCCAGTGGTCTTCTGTTTTGTGGTGTTCATTACTAGTTGGATTTTCCAAAGTTTGTTAGGCCAATCTGACGATTTCTTTGATTCAATTCTCAACAAGTTTGTTATGGTTCGCATGTATCGTTCTATTTGGCCGTTGGAGCGATGTACACCAGGGGTTGGAGCGATGTACACCAGGGGTTGTCACGTGAACCTCGATACCAAAGTGTTCGGTAAATGCTTTGAAACTTTTAGCGGTAAAATTAGTGCCAGCATCGTGGATTAGTTTTGCTGGGCTTCCGAATATACTGATGAAGTTGGCAAAGCTTTGTCTGGTTTCTTCGGACGTAACAGTGGACTGGGGGTAGGGAAGGCAGAATTTTGAGAAGGCATCCACCAGGACAAATATGTACTTATAATTGCTTGGATTTCCAGGTAAAGGACCAAGACAATCACCATGGATTGTATGAAATGGTTCGTACAGAGGTGAGGAAGCCTTGCTTTGGACCAGTTCGATTTTTCCGAACAGCACATAGTAAACAATGTTCAACATATTTCTTAACGTACCGAGCCATATGAGGAAACCAAAAGTAGAGTTTTAGTGATTTAAGTGTTTTTTCCCAACCTACATGACACTGATCATCATGGAATATTTTTAAAAGATTATATCTGTTATTAGATGGTACAAACGGTAGTAATTCTATAGATTTGTTGGTTTCAGTTGAAATGATTCGAAACAATGTACCTTTTTTGAATTTATATTTTCGGATGACATCTACCTCGTTATCATTTAAAGATTTAATGATTTGTTTGCACTCCTGGTCTCGACTTTGTGCAAAAGTAAGCCAGTTTTTGTAATCATCAGATGTTAAATTAACTTGAACCACAGTGTCGGTCGGATTTCTACTAAGGAAGTCAACATGAGATATTTTGGTACCTTTTCGGTAGACTATTTCGAAGTCAAAGTCTTGCATATAAGCCCACCAGCGCGCTATACGTGGTTTTAGGTCCTTCTTTCCTGCAGACAACTTAAGGACATTGTAATCAGTAACAAGAGTGGACTTTAAGCCAAGTACATATACTCGAAAGTTTTGAGAGCCCTAACGACAGCCAGAGTCTCTAGTTCAAATGAATGGTAAACAGCTTCCTCGGGGGATGTTTTCTGGCTGAAATATTCAACTGGGCGGAAAGTATTCCCATGTTTCTGTAATAAAATGCCGCCAAAACCGATACTGCTGGCGTCTGTGTGCAACTGTATTTCCAAAGAAGGATCAAATATGGACAATAGAGGTTTTTCTGTTAGGACATCAATAATGTATCGCCTTGCCTGTTCACATTCTGAGGTCCAAGGAAAGTCAACATTATTCCTGGTTAGATTAGTTATGCAGGCAACTCTAGAAGAAAAACCTGCTTCACATTAGTGGGGGCTAAACTTTCTTTGACTGCTTTAGCTTCATTAGGGTCAGGTTGGATACCATCAGCTGAGATTACTCGCCCTAGATAGGTGATACTCTTCATGAAAAAACGTCATTTCTAGAGATTTATAGAGAATCCTGCTTCAAGCAATGCATCAAAAACTAATTTTAATCTGAGCATCCCTTAGGCGACTGTAATAGACGGTATAACGATGTCGTCCATGTAAACAATAGCCATATCATATTTAAGTTTACCTAGAGGTTTACTAATGGCCCGTTGGAAGACGGCGGGTACATTAGCCAGACCAAATGGCATCCTCAGGTACTCATATTGGCCGTCCGGTGTCACAAAGGCAGTTTTTGAAATTGATTCAGGGTGAATGGGTATCTGGTGGAATCCCGAAGCCATATCAAGTGATGTGAAATATACATTTTTACCCAATCGGTCCAACTGGTCATCTATGAGGGGAAGAGCGTAGCGATCTTTAACGGTAATTTTATTAAGGAAAAGAAGAGTTGCTCTTACGAATAATTTTATTTTCAAGAAGATCAGCAACGATTTCACGTACATTTTGGCGTTCAGATTCCGACATACGGTAGGGGTGATGATAAATATACTAAGTGACATATAAATCCGAATACCCAGTTTAAATGGTTTTATTATGATAAAATTTTGTATAAGTACTTAGTGAAGCATAATAAGTAAATGATAAAAATTGCAAAATGATTGCACTGCTTTAAAGCCCTTTGACCTTTAATAATGTGTGGATGCACCCTGATGTGCTACGCATTCTCCAACGCGCCTAGGCATGCTTCTGATCAGGTGGTCAATGTCCTCCTGTGGTATCTCATTCCAGGCAACCACCAACTCCTCTCGAAGTGCTTCTAGAGTCTGAGGAGGACGTTGCAAATTGAGCAATCTCCTACCCATCATATCCCACACGTGCTCAATTTGGGATAAGTCGGGAGATCTTGGTGGCCATGGTAACAATGTGACATCATTAAGTTGAAAGAAGTCTATTGTGACTCTTGCAACATGTGGTCGGGCATTATCTTGTTGGAAAGTTGGATCTGCCAGGGTGTCAAGATAGGGTAAAAGATGGGGTTCTAGAACTTCGTGGATATAACGCTGCGCATTCATGTTACCTCTGATGAAGATTAAAGGTGACCTGGAACCATAAGCTATAGCACCTCAAACCATAACTCCAACAGTGTGATGAACATGTCTTTCAACAAAAAACTGTGGATTCCTCCTTTCACTACGTCGCCTTCTAACCCTGGCACGACCATCGTGCATGCCTAAACAAAATCGAGACTCGTCACTAAAGACAATACTGTTCCATTCCTGATCCCAGAGTGACCGTTGTCTGCACCACTCAAGGCGATTACGTCGGTGTTCTCGAGTTAAAGGGAGGACCCAGTGTGGCCGGTATGAAAACAAGCCAAAATTTCTCATTCGTCGGTAAACACTTCGCATGCCAATACGTCTTCCGTGTTCTGCAAACCATTCATTTGCAATGGACCTGGTAGTGGAGAAACGGTCCCTTAAGGCCAATAATCTTAGGCGGCGATCTTCACGGTCTGTTGTTCTACGGCGGCGTAAAGTGCTCCTTGCTCTTTGCGTACGGCCTTCTCGAAGCCATGCCTGACAACACCTAACCACAGTGTTCTACACTTCTTTGCACTCTAACTGCAACTGCCCGAAAAGAAAGTCCAGCTTCCCGAAGTCCCACTATACCGACCCTATCAAACTCACTAAGTTGACGAAATCGTACAGGTCTCCGTACTCTAGGCATCGTAACCGATCGTAAAGGATGTCAAGAACCAAAATCCGCCAACGTTGATTCTTTACTGCGGCTGAAATATTCATTTTTAGAGCGTTAGTGAATTAAAAAAGAGCAGTATAAAAACCGGAACGTCCAACTGATAAGGCTGAAAATTTTTTCACTTGTTATTTACAGTAAGATAAATACATTCACCAACTTTTATTAAAATAAAACCATTTAAACTGGGTGTTCGGATTTATATGTCACTTAGTATAGTTTAGTTTTCAGTTAGAGTAATAACTAACTCGCCAGTGTTTACGACACGGGATAGCTTGCCGGAGGTAGTTAACAGTTGAGAATAGTCTTCAAGTGATTCAAGTAGCCTTACTTTATCATGAAAGTCCAAATCGGTAACTACTTCTGGGCCTAGATTATCGTAGGTGGTATTGATGGGTATAGGTTCACAAAAAATTTGTTGCCCGTTTTTATCCTTGATTAAAGTTACGTTATTTTCATAGACGTTTTCACCTATAACAACATCATACTTAGAATCATTTTGTGGTACTACGACAAAATCAAGTTTCAATTTTGCATCAGAAATTTCCACTAAGGCATTTGTAACAAAATAAGAATTAATAGTAGTACCCTCAAACCACTGTAACGCTGTGATACGCGGTATTTTACCAAGGTTCAATTTTTCAACCAGCGTTTCACTAATTAATGAACATGTCGAACCAGTATCTACTCAACAATTTGTACAATAACCTGATATTACAATTGGCAACGTCTTCAAACATCTACCGAGCTCAGAAGCATGAGAATTAAGAAAAAGTTGTTCCCCTTTGAATTTCTTATCTACACTGGTTTCGCCGCCACTGACTCGAGCACGTTTGTTTTGACGACGAAAACAGTGAGATATTTCATGGCCCGGTTTTTTGCAGTAACGACAGAACGTTTTTGCATCTTTGTTGCTGTGAATTGGAAATGCCTTACTTTTACACTCTCGCGAAAAATGGCCTATTTTGCCACAGGAATAACAACTAATTTGTTTGGAGTTTTTTCGTGGAAGGTCAGCAATCTGACTGTTTGGATGTGTTGACATTTTATCGAATGATGGAACTTTTATATAATTAGCAAGGAATGCAATCAAATCACTTACAGATGACGCGCCACAATTATAAGCAGCAGTTCTTACAACGGCATCATCTATCGAATGTGCGATAATCTCTATCAAATCCAAATCCACCCAACTAGCTCGGGTGCGTTTCAACTTTTCGAGTTTGACTCTAGCGTATTCGACGTAACTATGGGCCTCTGAGCTATGATAGCCTACTGCCCCACTGAGAAGCTTACCTAGATTTTTCTGTTTAGGAAATGATACGGAAAAATCAATCTTGAAATTTTCAAATGTTTCTTCAGTAGGTTGCCATACAGAAAACCACCCTAGTGCAGATTTTAATAGAAAAGGTCCAATTCTACTTACAGTTGCCCGGTCAGACCAACCAAATTCATTTTTATATCCCTCTATTTTTTGTAACCATACGTGGTTATCGGTGCTGTCCGGATCAAAACTGGGCAAGGCCAAAGAAATAGGAGTTTGCGTTCCATTGTCATCCACCTTCCTCTGTAGATTTTCCAAAATCGATGCAATTGCTCCTAGAGACTTTGCCAACTCTTCTGCCATAATGTCTTTCACAACCACAAAACTTCACAGAATGCCAAACGTTTACGAAAAGTACACGTGTACCCCAATCAGGATGTTAGATTTTTACAATTTACGACCACTCACGGTCAATGTCAGGCAGTGTCTGCCCAGCGCGGCAGTACGTCTTCTCCCGCGCCGCTCTTGGGCGCACATGCGTGAGCGACCAAACAGTGTTATAGGGAGAGCCAAGTTTAGATATTTGAAATAGAATCGTAACAATATGATACATAAACCTTCTGGGTATCGATGAAACAACAATTGTACGTAGTTTAGTATAAACTACTAGTCGATGTGCTATTCCTGAGGATAGGCTTATAGTAATAACAGAGTAAACGAAATAGACATTTAACTGCGCCTGAACTCACCCACAGCTTGAACAGAACGAGGGAAAACACTGTGTCCGTGTCTATGGTAAAGCGCCGCTTACAAAGGGCTAACCTTAGAGGACGTGTAGCAGCACGCAAACCACTCCTGCTACCTATACACAAACGCAACTGGTTAGCATGGGCCCAAGAGCACAAGGATTCGACCATTGACGATTGGAATCTAGTCCTTTGGTCGGATGAATCCAAATTTGAAATGTTCGGATCTCGACGACGACAGTTTGTATGCCGCCAACCCCATGAATGCATGACTCCACAATGTTTGCAGCCCACTGTTAAGCATGGAAATGGGAGTGTAATGGTTTGGGGATGTTTTGCTGGAAATCAAACAGGAGATTCGGTTCGTATTGAAGGAAAATGCGAAAAGAGCAGTATTTGGAAATATTGGAAAACCATGCTGTTCCCTCAGGACAAAGGATTGTTGAAAACAATTTCGAATTTCAGCAAGATAACGACCCTAAGCATTCATCCCGACTATTCCGCAATTATTTGGACCAGCAGCAAGAACTTCGTGCAATGAAAATCAGTCTCCAGATTTGTCTCCTGTCCAATATTTGTGGGATGAATTGGACCGACAGATGAAGCTGCAGACTTGTGGGCCAAGCTGCAGGAAGCGTAAGTATCCTTATCACCAGCTATTCTTGAAAAAATGATACGTCGGATGAGTCGTGTCTGTAAGGCAGTTATTCGGGCTCATGGTGGACATTTCGATGAATCACGAATTTAAAGTAAATTTTGATAGAAATAAGTTACCAACTGATTACGTTTCAGTGGAAAATAGTTTCTTTTTTTTGATTAAACACAGTCTATGGTTTGATTTCCCTCAAAAATTGACTGTCTCAAAACGAAACGGTAGTGTATATGAAATAGTTCATAATAATGTTAAATATTTGTTTCCAAACTTTTGTCCGCTACTGTACATGTATACGGCTGTTGGGGGAGACGCATATATGAGCAAGTGGTGGGTGACTTATTGTTACACGTATATGGGATCGAATCTATGCAAATCTGTTTATAATCTGGAAAATCAAATACAGGATGACCAAGATAAGGATCCTATGCATGAGGATCTCAATATCTGTGGTAAATACAGCTTAGGTTAAATTAAGAAAAAGTTGAGCTCTTTGGGACGTATTTACATACCGTTGAGAAACTTGTAAACATTTCTGGGGTGTTTGGGAAAAACTAAAATTTGCCCAAATTTTTTCTGTCGTTATATTGAGAAATATCAAAAAACTAATGAAACTTTTCCATTGGCACTTTTTAGGCACTACATTTTTGAGAAACCATCAACTTGATTTTAGGATGATTAACTTTATTCTGTCTAAAAATGTATACGAGCCCCTCCCCACTTCAGTTGGCCCACTTCAAGATTTGTACAACAATATGCCTTTATAAACTAAACATGACGAAACTATTTACTTCTAAAACAATCCCTTAGACCTATAACTAATAGAACATCTGAACAAATAAACAATGTGCGAATAAATGCGCTAAGTTAACAAAGCAACAATTGAAAGATTACCATTGGGCAACATCACCTTTATTTTTTATTACGGCTGAAATTCTTTGGGGCATAGTGTAAACCAATTTCTGGCAAAAATTTGGTGTAAAACAATCCCATATTTCTTGAAGCTTTTGTCTCACTTCGGTGATTGTACGAGCAGGATGTTGTCGTAGAACCTTTTTCATCTCGTGCCACAAAGTTTCAATAGGTGACAGATCTGGACTGCTAGAAACCCATTTCAAAAGTGGTACATTATTTTCTTCCATCCATTTTACTATATATCCTTTTTTGAGGTATGGCACGCTGCACCATCTTGCTGAAACACAAAATCTTGGCCGGATGTCAAACATTGCCAAATATTTGTTTGTATCCACATTTCCATCAATAAAGTGAAGTTTTCCTACTCCTTTTGATGACATACTACCCCAGACCATAATGGATGCTGGAAATTTCACTTTTCTCTTCAGACAGTCAACATGGAATGCTTCATTTTTTTGCGAATAACTCTACTGCGACTGTCACTAATACAAACTTCGAATCGGGCCTCATCACTCCATTGTATTGCACACCATTGTTGAGGTGTCCATTGTCTATGTTCTTTAGCCCATCTAAGCCGATTTTTCTTTTGCAGTGGAGTTAATAGTGGCTTTTCTTTGGCCTATAAACAAGTTGTGCAACTTTATGGTTTTTACTTCACTTTTTTTTATAAGAATACTTACCAGTTTGTGGGCCTCTCTATGAGTTGTGGACCTCGAAATTCTCCTTCCAACAGCGTCACTCCACAGAGCACTTAATTGTAAATAATTGGCACGCCTGTTTTTCACGATTATTCTTCTTAATGCTCTTCGGTCGGCATTTGTGATATTACTTTTTTTCACATATCGTGGCTTAATATTAACAGAACCGGTTACGTTATATCTTCTAACAATATTTCTCACACTGTATCGCGATAAGTCTAACAAAGTTGCAATTTCTGAGTTTGATTTCCCAGAATTAAAAAATTTAATTATCAGTAACCGAATTTTCCCACTAATAACCTTTCCTCTACCCATTTTGAAAACCTTAACTACCCAAAACTATTTTAAACGTATTCTGACAGCTGTGATTAATAAAAACAATTGTCATGGCTTTTATTTTTCACAGTCACCTATGCATTGAAATGAAAATAGGTTGATATGCTGTAATTGCAACATGTGTTATTTTTATGCTGCAAATTTGATTCGGGAGTGATAAAGTTGGTGTTTTCTACTATATATCATCAAAATATTCATTGATAATATTTTAAACCTATAACACCCTGCTACATTTTTATTATTTCTGTTTGATAATACAAAAACTAAGATTTCAATAGTTGGGCCAACTGAAGTGGGAAGGGGCTCGTATATTGATAGGTACTGCAAGATACCTCGGTCATTCCTCTGCCTAGCCCAGCATTTCCGGTGAATTATATTCGATACCTAACAAGTTTCTAATAACAATATATTATACAGTATGATCTTACCATACTACATCTGCCCCGATATTCGAAAGAATTTTCTTTCTAATGAAATGAAAATTCTTCTAACTCGCTAAGAATGTTGTGTGGCACGACGAGTAAAATAATATAAAATATGTCTATACAAATTTGTAAACATTGTATGCATACAAAATTTCTTTCTTAATTGCTATCAAACTATACGCTGGAAACGAAAAATAAGTAGAAGAAAATAAGTTTGAGAAGGAGAGATAGAAAAAGAATAGTTTAGAATATACGATAGAAAAGCAGGGCCCTTTTAATACTTAACTACGTACTAATACCTAGTTCCTAACATCTTGATTACACTGTATATGGATAATAACGTTTTGTCCTATTTTTAGGAATGATTCCTCCTTATTATTTACAATTTTTACATTTAGAGATATGTCTTCTGCAACTAAATATGGACCCGAAAAACAAGGATTTATTTATCCCCAGTCTCATTCCTGACTCAAATTTCGTCTCCTTTATTATAAACTATAGGATTAGCTGTCCTATCATAAGCCACTTTTCTGGAATGGTTCCTCTTCATTAAATTTTAGACTGTAACCTGACCTATCCTAAAATGAATACCTTGGTTTTTATCTCAGTCATATATGTCAACGTGACTGAAAATAGATTCTGAGCATTAATACACATGTTTTATTTTATTTTTTGTACGGTCTGAAAAAAGTACAACCTGCGACTAACTGCATTTTTATACGAATTGAACGATGTATCACATGTTACATTTATTTTCTTGGACATAACGAAAAATGCGTTTTTACTGATTATTTGCTTTTTTAAGCAGGCGTTGCAAACAAATGCTTGACTTGACGTAAATACCTGTCACCAAGTATTATTATTGCGTATTGCTAATATTGCTTTATTATTGTTTAAGATGCCAAGCGGTCATTTTAGCAATGAAGAAAAGTTCGACATGCTGACGTGTTACATTTTGTGCTACAAAAACACTAAAAATACTGCAGAAATTTATCTTGATGAATTTTCCAAAGAAGGCAGCCAAGTAAGACCATTTTCTTAGACACGGCTGGAAATTTAAATGAATATGGTTCATTCAAAAAGCCTACTTTAAAAAAACAGAAAAAACACATTTTTCCTTATAACTAAGAATATAAATGTAAAATGTGAAACATCGTTGAATTTGCATAAAAAGCTATTATAGGGTGTATTATAGGGTGTACATTTTTTCGGACCATACAAAAAAAAATAAAGATGATGGTTTCTCAAAAACGAACCGTCGGGCACAAAATTTAAAAACACCATCACTTTATACACAGAACAACACAAATTACTATTAATCTGTGTTTTGAAGCACGTTCCGTTTCGAGTAACTCTTAACCCCTGTTTACTGATTAAAATTATTCTTACAATTAGAATAAAAACATTGGAGTAACCGCTCTCTGATGATTCTTAGCATTGCGTTTACTAGTACTGCTACAAAACTACACTATCCCTTACTTGTGAGGGGGCTTATGACAATAGTTGTCCATGGATTTTAAATTTTGGCAGAGATTCAATGAATCGAATGGAAGACTGGCATGCCTGGCACACCATAATTGTTTATCAGCAAAACAGAAATTGTGTAAAGAACCGTAAACTGGGGTGATTTTTTGTACCGGGATGCAGATTGGGA